CTACAAATACTTTTATCACATAGCTAATTGGCTGTGAAACTCTAACTATGACGCTTCTTCACAGACGGGGATAGCGTTATAATGAGGGAGACCAGCTGTCTTCCCCCAGAGCTCCACTGTGGGGGGGACGAAGGGCATGTGTTCCCCACCTTTAAGACAGAGGCTACCACGAAAGCCGATTCACAGTCTAGCTGTACTTCAACTCCGGAATTCAGTTTCTCTCTCAGCTCTCTGCAGGATTTCATGTTGGCCGACTGTCTGAAGATCCCTTTTGTGAGGGGTCCTTTCTGATTAAGGAAGAAAAGCATATCCTATGGGGAAACAAAGGAAACAAAAATCAAAATGGCACTTGACGGAGAAGGAGCCAGAGAACACATCGCTGCCCTCCCCGGCTGCCAGGGGCCGGGGCGGCCCTGCGGGAGGCACTGAAGGGCTGGGGCTGGACAGGCTGCCAGAGGATTAAAGTCACTTTGTGTGTGTGTGTGTGTGTGTGTGTGTGTGTGTCTAAATCTATTTTCTCCCATTTGTTCTTGCTACATTTCAATACTTGCTTTCATGCGACTGTCCTTTTTCAGCCGATCCAATAGTCACTTCAAGGTACCTGTTACCTCATGTCCCTCCTGTCTCACTATTCTTTGCCCACTGTTCTCTAACACGAAATCTTGTCCCCAGACATGGAAATGTTCTTGCCTAACTCATCCTCCACTTGCTTGTCTTTCTTTTCTTGTGACTTTACATTTCATCCTACTTTACACTTCATCCTACTTCCTATATTGACTTCTTTTAAAATCTGGCTCCAAAATCATCACCTCTGGGAAGCCTTCTCTGTCCCATTCCATTCCAATCAGTGTTTCATTTTGCTTCCTTTCCAGAGGAGGAACAAGTGGGTGTCGGAGACATGCAACCCACAGGACCTTAGACCTAGTTACAGCTCAGGCTTGCTGTGTGTGACTTTCAGTAAGCTTGAGGGTTTTTTTGGGGGGGAGTGGGGCTTTAATTTGTAAAGTAGGAATGATGGAGATGGTGATGGTGATGATGATGATGGTGACAACTACCCTCTAAATCTGTTGTGAAAGACAAGCGATAAAGTGACTAGACTAGCGTCTGGTACTCACAGACACACAGCAGAGCATGAAGTGCCAGGCATCCGGGACGGTGCCTGAAGGGTACTGGACACTCAAAAAATGCTGCTTGACAGGGTTCATTTACTACCTTCACTGAAGACCATACACACTCAGTGGCTTTCACCTGATCTGTTGTACATACAAAAGGTAACTAAATGCCAGAGGATGTATCTTCATGCCTAAACACTTAGAATACTAATAAAAAGTATGAGGTTTAGTCCTTGCTGCTAAGGTGACTAAAAGAGTCATGTTCTGAACAACACAGGGTTCAAGAAAGGATGTGAGAGGAACGTGTGGGATAAAGTGCATTCTCCGTCCACAGAGCAGACAGACTCTAGTTTATCAGAGCAGGTTCACGCTGCTCCTTCCTGCACCAGCAGACAAGACCATCTCTCCCCATCACGTCTGCCTCATGATGCTGCAATAGTTTAGTCAAGATTTGTATTCTCTGAAGTAATAGTAAAGGTTCTCAGCCAAAGCCATGAGTGTCCACAATTTTTCCATTTGGGGTAGATTTTCCCTCCGGAGCTCTCCTTTCCTGTTAAGTGTTACAGACCAAAACGAGACTTACCAAGATAGGTTTGGGTAGATTGTCATTCTCACAGATATCTGGCAAAGACACTCCAAAGAGCTGTCCCGGCATCAGAGACGTTGGTGACACGGGCTGGTTGTCCAGGTGGGTGCTCGAGCCTCGCCAGAAGGCCCAGTTAATGATAGATCTTCTTCTTTTAAACGTCTTCTGACCTGAATCTAAGGAAGAAGTGAGATTATTAGCAAAACTAATTTAATTCACTTAATCTTATTTCTATAGTTTCCATTGTATAGTATGCACAGCACCACGGCTCAGTATTTTATAAGGTAAGGAAACATTAAACGCTTGGGTTATTCTCCCCCCCCCCCATTTTGGGGACGTCACTGATCTATGTGCTTGAATTCTGGTACCAAATTTTCAAAGGTGAAAGGGCTCCCCGTTTACTGAACTTACAGCACAAAGCATTTCATACCAACACACAGGCCATTTTAAAGAGGAGACTAAGTGAACAAAAAAGCTGAAGATCAAATTAGACCACAATTCAGTAATGAGAAAAAGAAAGGAAGAAGGAGGAGGAAAAGGAGAGAGAAAGAGAGGGGAAAGGGGAGAAGGAAGAGGAGGAGGAGGAAGAAAAGGGGAGGGAGGAGACCTGGGGGAAGGGGAGGAGGCGTCGCTATGAAGGTGCTCTCTGAGAACAAGAAGGCTCTGCTACCTGATGCCCCACTCTGCTGTGGAGCACAGAGGCAGGAAGCTAATGCTCTGTGCCCCCCCCTTTCTCTCCAACTGCAGACTTTTCATGTATCTTTTTGGTTCCTGACTTTAAAAAGTATGTTTAAGGCAGCATGGATGGATGAAAACATGAGTGAGACTCACCCTTGCCACGGTAAAGTTTATAATCTTACAGGGGGACAAGACTGGTGATGGGTGGGTGGGGGAGAGCAAGTATATTAATAAATAAGACATCCTGAGGGAGGAACAAGGCACCAGAGGCGTTCAGAAGAACCATGAAGCACATCTGCCTCCCCGTCAGGAGAGAGGGAGTGGTCCTGCAGGCACCTGCATTGGATGTGAATTTGGAATCAACACGATTTCAACAGGTAGAGGATCCAGCATCATCCCTCATGTCTAGTGAGTAATCAATAAATCATTCTCGAACAGTAATTGAACTGAGCAGACATTTAGGTGAAACAAGACAGCAGGAACAAAACAGGCAGGAGAAAGGTCAGCAGTGAATCATGGTTTTGTGAGATCATAGTTCTAAAACAGTTCTGATGTCATCTGCATCTAATTTTAAGACAAAAATGGATGGATCTGCACAGGATCTGATACCTAAAAAGACAGCTCTTTAGGGTCCTTTTTGACCTTTCTGCCACCTACACCCCCTGGCCTAAACAAATACACACAGGTAACAGCTATAAACTCCAGGCAACACTTAAAGATATAAGAGCCGACCTGAAGACACTAAAGAGTGACCAAAGGAAGGCACAGAGTGGAGGTAACAGTTTGACACCTGGGAGGAAGGGAATGGCATGGCACTGGGTGAGTTTCCCACTTTTACAGCTTCTTCCATGAGCGTAGGACCCCGGGTTGGCAGGGGTGACTAAAACTTGGAGAGAAACCTATCCTCTTGCTGGTTTGAAAAAACTATAGAGAATGGAGATGGAGGTGACCACAGCAGCTGGAGGGTGAAGGGGGAACCCCAGGAAGGAGCAGACAGACTAGTGGGAGCCCCAACCCAAATAATGGGCATGAATTCTGCCCAAACCTCTGGCTGACCCCCGAAGCCTGCGTTGCGTGGGGCAGATGCGAAACAGCTCTTGAGGCGAACGGGCCCACAGGTGGTGCCCACATAGATTCTGACTACATTTTTCACCAGGGACAGTGCATGAAACTGGTCATCACACTGTGGCTTTGAGGCCCTGACCCCCAGCCATGCTGCCAGAGATGGTGCATTACCCCCCAGCTCTCTCTGACCACGGGGCACGAAGGGGACAATCTCGGGGGGTGGGGCACCGAGGAGAACATTCGGGGGTTGGGGGACACGAAGGACACTATTCCGGGTGGTGGGGACACCGAAGGAGATGATTCCAGGGGGTGGGAGGGGCACAGTCGGCAGTGCCCAGTGCTCATTTCAAGCAAGTGTTTCATACTGTTTATTTCCTCAGCATACCCAACATAAACCAAATACTAAAAAAGCCACGTCGTGGGAAGATAATCAAATAGGAAACATTTTACTGAACAGCAGCTAGACCATCATCCACCCCTGGCTTCCTCAGGATACAAGAAGTGCATCATAAATGCTCATACACCCAGGTGTAAAGTTCTTTGCTTCAGGAGTCAGGAGCCCAGCTAGACTCCTGCTTCAGATATTTATTTGTGCAAGTTACTTATCCTGCTTCTTCACTTTAACATGAGAACACCACCTACAGCTAACAGCCTCACCGAGAGAATTAAGTAGGATAATGTTTGAAAAGTGTTACTTTGCCCAGGGCATAGGTCCACAGCAGCCTTGAACAGAGCTGCCAAGACACCAATCTCCTCCCCAGAAAGAGGACCTCCTCCCCACATCCATTCTCCACTTGTTTAACAGCCTTCTGGAAGTGTGTGGACAGGAAGAAATACCAGAATCTGCTTAACTAAAGCACTTTCTTCCTGTCCTGACATTCCCAACTTGCACCATCTTAAAGAACAGGAAAGAAAGCTGAACCCATTCTTAAATCCAGGAGGGGGTTCCTGTGTGCCAGCAATGCCAATCTGTGCAAATGTTTGTTGGGTATGTATGTTTACATATGATGAGTAGTTCTACTTAGTCTAGTTTCCTCACATTTAATCTGGTTTCATTATTTCTAAAACTATCAGAATTATTTGCTTTTTTTTTAGCTTTCATACACTTCTTAGAAAGAATGCTCTATCATAAAGTTATATACCCAGCTATCCTACGAGTGCAGAGGATAAAGCAGAAATTGAGTCCTGAACTTTATTATAAATACTTTCAGCTGCAGCCATGTCTTTTACTATGTACAACATTCAATTTTAAAGCTCACGTTCCCTCTGGGACTGAGAGAAAAAAAAATCTCATTAAAGTTTACTTTCTTGCAGAGCTTTAATACACAGCTCTTACTTTCCAAATGTCAAAGACTGATGAAAAGACATGCAATTGCTATAAAAACTGTAAGGGAGATGTAAATGCAGGGCCGGTGGAGTTCAGGAAGGCTTAGC